TGTTTCATTTTAGAAAAAATTTCTCTTGATAACAGTATTGCTATTAATATCAGTGAAAACAGCATTTCCTTGTGCACTATCGAAGAAAAGTACTGATGCTATATTCTACATGGAGTTGGATAGAAAAGATTCATCATTTATTCAAGGTATATGTTAGCGTGATTTCATTATTGAAAATGTTTTGTTGACTATTTCTTATCAGGAATTCTCGAACAAAGAGAATCTCAACCATCATCACGGCACTTCAATCCATTGGGATTTTATTTATTACTAACAACTAAAATGGATGTTGTTCATACTGAGATAGGTATGATACTGATATCAACAATAATAACTTCATTTGACTATTTTTATATTTCTTCTTTCTGAATCTTTCTCTAAATAGGTAAACTTTTAGAAACTCAATATGGATGTGAATTACAAGACGAAAGCTTAAGGAATGTTCTTACCAACAGAAAGAGAACAATGTCACCAGGTTTGTGTTACCCTTCTGCAAAATTTTTAGAATAATTACAACGTAATCTACTTTTCTTTAATTACCTCTTCAACATAAGATCCAGTCCATCCACCAGTGTCGTCGTCATCCAGTTCTCAAAAACGTCTTCGAGTAGATGTTCAACAATCAGCAGCTGCCTCAAATAATCCGTCGTTAAATTATCGATCAACAGAAAATGCTAATCAGGATCGTAGTCAACAAGTTATATCAATGAAAACAGCCATATCTACTATTGATAACCCAAAACATTCGCAATCAAGTAAGAGAATAGATGATACGTAACATTTTGTCTACTTAATCTGTATTTTTAAGGTTCAATAATCGCAGAATATTCTGTTGATTATAAAAAACATCGGGATAATTATATCAAAAAGATTAAGAAACTAGCAGAACGAGATAATAGAAAAGAATATTTATCGGACATCTACAAAGTACACCGCATCGATATAGCCGAAGAAGATTTTATCAAGTTCGATAAAAAGAGGGAAAATGATCAACCACCATATTTTCGTGTCATAGAACTAAAAGAACTCATACAAATCATCATTATTCTCCATAATCCTGTTAACAAGGACTGCGTTGTCTGTGAACACGGATCCAACAGTAAATTGGCTTCCACATTTGCAGTACTAAGTGATGTATTTTTGAACTTAGAAAATGATGTGACAAAGAGAATAGCAGTTACTGATTCAGTCAATGTTGCAGTGAAATATAACAAGAATAGTAAGAATTTTAATTCAGAGATTGCAGAACAGTACTTAAGATGAGTCAAAAAAGATTTCTCTTTTTTCGTATCAGTTTTTGGATTCTCATCCAAAGTTACTTAGAAATTGAAACTTTTAGCCTTTGGAATCATTCCCCTAAAGTGAGGGTGAGGGTGAACTTAGAAAATGTGATTTGATAACAACATAGGTTATGTGGGAAACATTTTCATTTTGTTTTCTGCAGATCCATTTGCTGTAACCAGGATTTCGTGGAAAGAATATTATGATTTGAACATGGTGTCTTTATTCTCTGATGACAGCATTAAATATTTGATTATTTGTGGATTAGAGCCGAAAGAACAGTTCCGTTATTACATTGTACATTCTTCACTGTCAATCAAATGCACACGTAATCCTAGTCTAGATGGACGAGGTATTAGTCTTATGGGCGGTAATGAAAAAGCGACATGTATTGTTGAAGTAGAAAAATGTCTAATTGGATTAGCTAGTAGAGAATTTTTTGTAGTATTTACATCACATCCCAGTGCTGCACTATATGAGCAGGCATCGGACAAAAAACATGGGATACGAGAACAAATTTATTTGGCAATCATCAACTATTGGTCTCTAATAGTGAACAAAAAACGATATGATGCTAAACTACCAGAGTTGAAAATAAAAAACTAGTAACAAAAATCATTCGTTGATCGACAAACACATTAGTATAAAACAATTTTTATATTAAATAGAGCTGACTCACTTTTTTTACTTTTTGAACCTTCTCATTTGTGAAAGAGGTTACGAACGATTGATCGTATGTCTGACCACCATGGCCGTTATACATAAAAAGAAAATAGAAAAGGTTTTCTATTTAAGATCTTAAAACAAAATCTTGGCTTCCTTCGTTCAAGATCTTTATATTTATTTTCAAAAGATCTTGGGTACAAGAAGTTTTACCTAGGCCCGGTTCGCCGTTTGTCAATAAAACTCTTCATATTGTCTAAAGATTTCCAGTTGATTTTGCAGATTGTACTAAATAAAGTTACAACTAATCCTTACTTTGATTAGTATTTCTTATTTACTATATTCTATTTATTTTGGATGAACCAAAAATAGCAGCTGCCAAAGAGCAACAGCCAAAAGGAAACGTTAAAACAGCAACAGCAACCATATCCACCGCAAAGTATAGACACTTATTCTTTCCGTAATAAAACCTTTTTATATTCTTTTTTGTCAAAACTGATAGCGCACGCTTGTGAACAACAAACGGATTCGCTTATCACAGAAATGAATTCGCCAGTACTGTGTTAAAGCAAAAAACTTAAAAAAAGAATTTCTTTTCTTTTCTTAACTTTAACATGGAGCATATTGATTGATGTCTTAATCCTTTATCAGTAGGTATTGTCTAGATATCCGTTAGGTAGCAATTATGTTTATCAAAGTTTTCAAAATTTCAGAAAATAAAGATAGATGAAGCACTAAAATCTAAGCACTTTGGTGTCTGTGTGGAACTTCACTTTCACACTTTGTAATGAGCAATTTTATCTCGTGTTTTGAGCAGTTTTGGATACCATTGGCACCCAGACTGCATAATAACATAACTTTTGAAATTTTATAGTTATGATATTAGTTGAATAGTGATGAAATAGCATAGAAAAATAGCATCGTTTTGGCTGTAATTGCATAAAGAAAGAAAATTTCTTCAAACTTTCTACAAGGAAATAAAGTAATGGCGTCATTACTTTTGGTATGCCCTAAGTATATATACATATACTACAGTGTGTGGAATATAGACTTGAAATCCCTGAAATCGTGATATCACTTTCTATGTTATCTGTTCCATGGATACTTTTTCGCCAAAAAGGTAAAGAAGAAGACTCAGATGTAAAAACGCGAAAATTTTCAAGTACCAGAAAGCGATCATTTAACATCTTTGAATGTTTATATACAATGGAAAAAGAATGGGTTAGTTTTTGAGCTTACGATCAATGTTTATGAGCTAATGCATTCCTAGTACTGTAGTTATTCAACAAATTGGTGTAATGATCATTATGTACATGTGAAAGCAATACGTAAAGTACATAAAGTCAGACAATAATTAAAAGATATTATGGATACACGAAAATTCGACGTACGTTCATGTGGAACAAATTGGGACACGTTAGATCGACTGAAAATGTGAATTTTTTCTTTACTAGGGTATCGGAGAATATGTTAATTTACGTGAGGGTACGCCATGTCATTTACATCCAACGAGTACATTATTCGGTTGTGGATTCACACCCCACTATATTGTTTATCATGAATTAGTTATGACAAGAAAAGTAAGTCGGTTGCCACATAATGTTCACCGTAGTATCCATTTGCTCAACATAACCAAATCATTTTTGAGGTGTTAAATATTTTAAAACCGACGGATCGTAGGGAAAACCCGGTTTGAATCGTGTAAGCAGTGAAAGAGGATGAATAGACGTTCTTAAAACTGTTGCAGTTCTCAAGCTTTAATCTAATGAGTACATATTATATTTCTAGGAATACATGCAATGGGTGTAAATGGTCAATGGTTAGCTGAACTGGGTCCAATGTTTCCAGTATCAAAGATTCGATTAAATCATGTGATGAACGACGACATAAAGAAGACAATAAAAAATCAACAATGGAAGAAGAAATGCGTATTGCTGAGGAAGAATTTAAACGAATAAAAGAAGACGCACATACAGCGATACCTACACCAACAGTGAGGTAAGAATATGAAAAAAACTTATTTTGATTTGAATATAAAGTTTTACTTAATCTCATTCTTAGATCTACGATCCGGAGCATCTCTTTCATCAACGTTCAAACATACACCATTTCGTAGTGGACTTTAAAAAACAATACAATCTTCTCGATTTTGTTGTTTCTTTTCTCTGGTGTTATTTTGATTTTGTGTTTTCTATTGGTATGGAATGGCGGTGTGTGTGGCCGCCTAAGGGGATTTCTAGAACTAATCCGTTTAGAGTTCCATTAATTCTTTTATCTTCAGGGGTTACTATTACACGGACACATTTTAGGATTTTAAGTAATAATTGACTAAAACGGATGATTAGTTTATTTATTACATTAATTTTAGACGTGTAGTTTTTATTGGTTCAGCTAGGTGAGTATAGTGAGGCTTGTTTTTAATTTTATCAGAAGAGTTATGGGAGTGTATTCGTTTTAGCTACTGGATTTCATGTATTATTACGTTGTTTTATAACTTTAGCTAGATTGGTGCGAATTTTAGTTTTATCAATGGAGGTTTGAGTACAGTAATTGTCACTTCACAGCATTAATTTTGAGTGAATAATATATATATGTTGTTGTTATTGTTGAGTTTAATATACTTTTTATGTTTGGTTGATTAATGAATTTATGTTATTTCTAATGTTGTTGTTTTTGATTTTAAATAATAGAAAATACTATAGGTTAATTACATAGTTTTTTGTTCAGAGTGTGTTTTCGTTTTTCTTGTTTTTAACTATTTATTGGACTTATTTTAGTTTCTCTTCTATTTTAATAGTAATTAAGTTGGGTGTTGCTGCTTTTCACTATTGAGTTATTGTTATTAGTATTGAAATGTCTTATTTTATAAATTATTATATTTTGGTCTTTCAAAAGCATGTGAAGTTTTGGCTTTTATGATTGTTTCATTCAATTGGTTCTTTTTATGTTTTTTAGTGTTTTTGTTTCTTTTCTAGGATTGCTTACAGTTTATGAGTTGTGGCTTTTCATATCTCTGATAGGTGAAATTTTTAAATAGAACTATAGTGGATGAGAACTACATTTTCGGATAGAGGACAGGCGATTACACATGTGTCCACCAAAACAGGCTCGGGGTATTGTTAATCTTTAATCCAAATTATTTTTTGTGAGGTTTTCAAGCGAAACAAACAAAAAGAAGCAAAAATATATAGAGGCTCGAGCAGTAATTGAACGCATGCCGTAAAAATTATCTTTCTTGCTGCTCTGTCCACTGAGCTATGGGGTCTGTACTTTTCTATCGTCCTTTTTCTCACCATACGTGAGATGATGAGGAAAAATGAATTCTCATTTTTGACTTTCTGAAGGATCTTCCAGAAACATATGCAAAAAAATTACCTAAACTAGAAAGAATTTTGCATTTTCATGACGAAAACTGAGAGAAATTTAATTTTTTTGAATATGTCTTTTTGTCTCTAAAAGAAAATGTGCAAGTGGATGGATACCCAGGACGTCAAAAATAGTGTAGTTAATTGCGTATTAAACGGTAGTTAATGGCTAATGAAATAGGCATTTTTAAACAAGTGATTTCCAAAATTTTTAACATTTTAAAGTGCCGAACGGTACTCACAATTTCAAGAATATGAATTAAAACAATATGAGAAAGAGAAACTAGTTAAAAAGACTATAGAATGAAATCAATAAAAAAAGCGAAATATTCATATTATGCTGCTCGATGTAAAAGAAAAGAAATACACAAAAACGTTCAAATGAAGGATTTAATATAATATATCATACAAACAGAACAGCGTGCGTTACAACTCTTCTTCGTTCTACCACTCCTGCTGCTCGTCAGTAGACGAGTTATTATGGCAGGTGGTAGTGTTCTCATCCGAATTTACAGCAACAGAACTATGATCAATACTCAAATCGTAATGATGACAATTTTGAGAATGATTTAGAACATCGAAGGTATGATACACCGATGATAGGAAATGGACAGTTCAATTACCCATACCCAGTTTCATACCAACAACAGTTTCCATTACGAAATTATTATTATATGAATCAACAGATGTATGGTCAACAACCCTATGTCCAACAACAGAGACAGCAAGCGACGATGCAACGAACAACAAACATGACGTCAGCTACGACTAGGTCTTATCCGTCTCCTGTTTCCCCTCCTTTAGTGCCTTCGTTGACAGAACACCAGCAACCATCTGTATCGACATACCAACATGTTCTTCCGACACAGTTCGCGGTGACCATTGGTGTAGACACGTCTACGCCACACGCTAACAAACGTGCGCGGGGTGATGTAAGTGGTAATTCGGATCAAGATCTTCAGCGTCAAATGAACCAACAGTTTCGCACACGTGTAATTAATAAGTCGGCACAGAATCAAGCTAGTTCTGCGTATAAATGTCAACGACCGAATGCCCAACAGACAAATGCTAATCGACCACCTCCAAGACATACAAATGCTCAGCAAAGACTAATTTTGGTCTAGCTACTACTACAGATAATCCGGATAATATGAATGGTCCTTCTGCTAATCTACCGATTACGGTAGCAGCATGTCGATTTGCGCCTACTAGATATCCGTTTTGACAGTTTACAATTCCACAGTGGGCATTTTTTGCTAGAGCAAGCGGACTTTAGCTTTATGAGTGAACTAAAATTTCATGAACCATCTTTTTATAGGTTTTTCATGATCCTCTTTCTAATGGCATGAGA